AAAAGCTGCTGACTCTGTTTGCAAGTTCTTCTTCTTGCTGTATAATTTCATTTATAATCCCAATTTTGGAAATACTTTTTTTCCTTTGGTTACTTTCCTCCTTCAATTCTAGGTAGAAGTTGCTCTCTAGAGATTTCCTTAATTTACAAGCTAAGAAGTTCTGTTATCCTCTCATCACTGAAGATGTTGATCTGCTCAGGACATATAACCATAGGTAGTGCTGATATACTCAACATTCTTGCTGGGTTTCCCTTTTCACTTCTGCACGTTCAGATGCTACATGACGATTCTCTGATCTTATTTGGACCTTTTTTCTCTGACTCTTCAGCTTCAACCTACTACTCTCCATTACCCTAATGTCGTAGGTTGCAAAGGGTGGTCCCCAGACCAGCAGCGTGAGGTTCACTTAAATCTTGTTAGAAATGCAATCTTGAGAACCCCATTACTGCCCTGTGGAATCTAACCTGAGTGGAATCTAGCAACTGTATTTTAACCAGCACTACAGGTGATTGTGATACGTGCTAATGTTTGGGGATCATCTGCCCTAAACCCTATTGCTGCTCCTGCTTCATCTCTTTTTTTAAGATTTTATTTATTCACGAGAGACACAAGAGAGAGAGGCAGAGACCCAGGCAGAGGTTTCTTACTGCCTGGGATGGAGCCCCTGCTCAGCGGGGAGTCTGCTTGGTCCCTCTCCTTCTGCCTCCCAGCCCGCATGTACACACATGCTCTGTCAGATAAGTAACTATAATCTTAAAAAAAAAAAAAAAAGAACAGAATTAGCCAAAGTAGTTCAAATGTTTTATATCCTTCTGGAATTCGGCTGCCGAACGGCACAGAACTCAGTGTATCACTGTGAAATGTAGAGAATGTGTTATGGAGGCTTGAGTCAACTGGGTGATAACTTAGAACAGCACTTGAAACTTCATTGTCATCCTCTTCACCAGGCTAAGCTCTAACTTCCCTTAGCACAATAAAGGGCTGTGTTGAGATGGTCCAGTACGCGGTGACCTAGGTCTGTGGTAGAGACGACTTCCTCCCTCTAGTGACCAGGAACGAGAATACCGTATCGTAGTCACAAACATTTACAAACCTGACTCTCAAGGTATATGTGGGCTTCTCCCAATGGTGTTTGGGAAGTCTGGCAGTTATTTTGGTTTTTTTTTTTACAATGAATACAGGTATTACTGGTATTCATTAGGGACATTAGGGAAGCTAGATATCCTGCAATGTGAGGGACAGTGTCCCATACAGATTAATCATCCAGTGCTAAATATATAGATGACAAAATCTAGTATTTAAGCCTAGAACCTAATACCATTTTACATATAAAAATATTTTGCACTGTTATTTATTGTTTTTTAAGTAAGCTCCACCCCCGACTTGGGGATGACTCAAGAGTCACATGCTCCTGGCTGCTATACGTAAGTGATAAATCACTAAATTCTATTCCTAAAACCAGTATTACACTCTGTGTTAACTAACTGGAATTTAAATAAAAACTTGCAACAGGGCAGCCTGGGTGGCTCAGCAGTTTAGCGCCACCTTCAGTCCAGGGCTGATCCTGGAGTCCCAGGATCGACCCATGTCGGGCTCCCTGCATGGAGCCTGCTTCTCCCTCTGCCTGTGTCTCTCTTTCTCTCTCTCTCTGATGAATAAATAAAATCTTAAAAAAAAAAAAAAAAAAAACTTGAAACAAAAAAGAGTCATATGCTCTACCAAATGAGCAAGCCAGGCCCTCCTTTCTTCCTGCAGTGTTTTAAACACTATTTTTTGAAAGCAATTTATTTCATCTACTGTAAAACACTGTAAGATACACCATTATCTAGCACTAAGAATGAAAACAAATGCTAATCAAATTCTGACGCAAAACTTTCAAACATTTACAATTTTTGTGTTACCAACAATCAACAGAGTAAAAAGGAACCTACAGAATGGGAGAAAACATTTGCAAATCATATATCTGAAAAGGTTAATCTCCAAAATATGTAAGGAACTAGTGATTCTAAGGTACAGCCATCTAACTACTATATCATGTCATTTTTTTTTTAAAGATTTTATTTATTTATTCATGAGATACACAGAGAGAGGCAGAGACACAGGCAGAGGAAGAAACAGCCTCCTTGCAGGGAGCCTGACGTGGGACTCAATCCTGGGACCCCAAGGTCATGCCCTGGGCTGAAGGCAGGTGCTAAACCGCTGAGTCACCCAGGGCCCCCCCTCATCATGTCATTTAATGCAGGCATGACTTCTTTTTATTGCACTAAGTCTTTCCCCACTTCCAGCTATTCTGTCTCCCGACTCCCAATTCGCAAGATAAAAAAAAATTGAAACTAAGGGGTTTAAATGATCTATTAAACATGTTATTCTGGATCCTCTGAAAAGCAGAAGTCAAGCTGGGATTAAATATACAAAGGTCTTATTAGGGGAAAATGACCATGTGAGTGAGATGGGGAGAGAGCCAGAAAAAAAAGACAGGAGAGCCATCTGTCCAGAAAACAAATCTGACTGAGTGAAAAGGGGAGCAAGAGAAAGTTGGGTGGAAGTGTCCTAGACTCCTGTGCCATCCAAGGAAGATTCAGCAAGGCCACCAGGGAGTCCTTGAGGCAACCAGAGTCAGCTGTTGGCTGAGTCCCACATCCTCTAGGAATGGTTTTGCCTTCGTACCCTAGCCACACTCAGCCATTGGCTGGAGGGCTCATAGGAGGTATGGCCGGAATGCAAAGGAGACTAGAGATTTCAGGGTGCAGCATTCAGGCCCTTGAACAATTACTCTCCTTGTATTAGGAAGGCTGGAAGGTGCATTTTCATGGCTACCACATGAAACTTCACACTACATTGGTGCCAAAGCCAGATCCATCCTTGACTCATACCTTTAAGAAATTCAATTAGCCCAGCATCCTCTTTGAATGTGAAGGAAGTTGTTCTTCAGCCATTGCTTTCTCAAAAAGCAGGACGGCTTTCTACTGGAAATGCCAATTTTGTGTGGGCCTGGACACACAGGCTCTGTCTGCTAAAGATGCCTTTGTCCTGTGTGAGGAAGATAAAAGTTTCCATCGAATGCTTCTGTTGCTGCTCAACTTAATTCTGGGCTTTGGAGCCCTGGAGTGGTGACTCATTTAGTCATAGGGACAGAACTCCTTCCATATGTTAAGGGTAATTTAGTAGGGGAAATTGTTTGAAAATTCAGTATCTTTTGGCTGTAATGGTCCATGAAATACATTTTAAAGAAGAAAAAAAGGAAAGATGGAAACGGGGGAGAGGAAGGAGGAAAGCAACTTACGGAGAAGGGTCACCTACATTACAATATTGACCTGTTACTCTGAGAAGAGGGTAAAGACAGGTTGGGTGAGCTTACTATTCCCATTTTTTTTTTTTTTTAAAGTAGGCTCTGTGCTCAACATGGGGCTCAAACTCACAACCCAGAGATCAAAAGTCACATGCTCCATTGACTGAGCCAGCCGGGTGCCCCTGAGGATTCCTATTTTATAAAATGTGGAAATGGAGATAAAAAAAGTTAAACCACTTGCCCAAATTCCCACTGCTCACGAAGGCAGAAACGAACTCCAGCCCATGTCTTTTGCCCTCCTCCAGTAAGACTGGGTCTACAAATACCAATAAAGAAAAAACAAATGAACAAAGGGAATGTTCTCTCTGATGGATTGAGAACTATTGACTTTAAGCCTTGAATCCAGGATCATGAATTCCTGCTTCTTTTAGTGTTCAGGCACTTCCCCAACGACTGTTAGTATCTTTCTGGATGGGCAGAGGGGAACAGGACAGTAAGATATAACATTAAATTGGGATGGTCATACAGTCTTACTTCTAAGAAAGCACCTTTACATTTTACATGTTGGGTGGAATTGCAGAAAAATATAATAAATGAGTGTACAGGTTCCTGAGTCAGATTACGGCTCTATCACTTTTGTGTGGATAAGCAATTCGGTTCCTCTTTGCTGCAGTTCCTTCTAAGGTAACGTAGCATGAAGTCATAATGATTACCTCACAGGGTTATTCTGAGGATTAAATGAGATAACACATTTAGAAAACACTAAGTAAATGTAGGCCCTAATGAATATATAACCAGAAACCCTATCATTCTGAAAAAACACGCTGGGCTCCGGCTCCAGCTGGGGTGGGTCTCTCGAAGGAAAGGCCGGCGTCGGCGAATGAGGGGACGCACAGAGTCAGGGTGCAGACATCTCCTGATCATTTCGGAGGGGCTTTATATTTATACCATTTTACATTGCCTTGTTTTTCCAGTTTCTTTTCTAGTAAATAATTACATTTTACATTTTATCGCAAACATCTTAATCATTCTAAAGATTAAGAAACATCTTTTTTTTTTATTTTTATGAATTAATTTTTATTGGTGTTCAATTTACCAACATACAGAATAACACCCAGTGCTCATCCCGTCAAGTGTACCCCTCAGTGCCCGTCACCTATTCACCCCCACCCGAAACATCTTTTTCATACGAAATATTTTTCTTTTCAGTTTCGACTGCTATAATGAACATGACCTTTATTGATTTCTTGAGAAAGCAGTGAGTGTGATGTAAAAGACAAAAGTGCTAGACAGAGCGTGGCCTGCGTGGAAAAACTAGTCTATGGTAATATGGTTACATGAAAGGGGTTATTATTTTAAAGGTTATATACAGAAATGTTTAACTTTCTTCTATCAGTTTACAGTACCCACAACCTATTTTATCATGTGTTCCACTGGTTAACTGTCGTCTCTTTAACTTGACGCTTAAGAGGTGCCTGAAGGACTTCTTCCATGACAGCTTTAACTGGGCTAGGTTCCCAGATTTCTTTTACCCTTAACTGATAAAAAAAAACTCAGCATTTCTCATATTAGAGGAATTTCAGAGTGGGGGGTGGGGGGCATTGGGTTTTATTCCAAGAAGCATGTTGGAAATTTTAATTATTTTTAGACTCCATATTTATTTTATTTTATTTAATGGAAATTCCCCAATAGTATTATAATGATGCTAAAGATGGCCAAAAACAAAGTGAAAGGAATCCGTGGGAGCCAGCTGTGGCTTCTCCTGATTTTCAGGATTAACTCCCATGCCTGGACTTTGTCAAACAGCATGAGTAGCCTGGCTCCACCAAAAGCCACCTTGTTGTTCAAGAGTAACAACAGTGGGTATTTCCTAAATTTTCCAGTACTTACTATACACTTTAGTAAAATCGTTCCTATTTGACTATATACTAATTTATTTTTGAACTTTTGTTAAACTCCTTGTCCCGTGGCAAATGAAGATTACCTCCTGGATTTTCTTTTTTTAAAGATTTTATTTATTTATTCATGAGAGACACACAGAGAGAGGCAGAGACATAGGCAGAGGGAGAAGCAGGCTCCACGCAGGGAGCCGGACATGGGACTCGATCCCGGGTCTCCAGGATCTGGCCCTGGGCTGAAAGCAGCACTAAACTGCTGAGCCACCTGGGCTGCCCCCTCCTGGATTTTCATGGCATTTCCTGCGAGTATTTTTCCATATGGTCATGTTACTGACATACCTTTTGCTCTGTAGTGAGGCCGCTTGTCAACTGCCAACAGAACAGGCTTTGTCATGTACTCCAAATCCTATATTCTAATATTGCAAACAAAATGATTCATACCTATAATACATATCCACTCAACTCGAAATACTAGCATAGTCATACTATTCATTTTGGTTAAACCTTTTACATTTTTCATTTAACTCAAGTAATCAAATTCATTACAATCTCCAATGTGATAGTCACTGGGCTATACTATAGTAGATGCCAAGGAATGCAGCCATCCTTGCCTAGTTGGCATGAGGAGACTAATCTGCATAAAACAATCAAGAAAGTTAAAGATATAGAAGGTAAATTCTAATTTGCATGGTAAAGGTCATAAGAGCTATAGAAATTGAGGACTGTTAGAACGGTAAGGTGATAAGGGAAGGTCATGCATAGGAGATGGGAGGAGGCAGTTTGGCAATTAATATAGGTCTCCATCATGAGGGAGTCAACCCTGTGATCCTGGGTCCTTGTTTAGGATATTAAATGCATTAAAATGCTAATGTAATGTACATGAGGTAAGCTTGAATGGAGTTTCAAGGATGGGCAGGTTATTATTGGTGGAAAATGATCCCCTTGACAGGAATAATCAAAACTAGGGATGGGGATGTTTCAAGCAGTGGAGATAAGAGTCCTTTGTATATGCAACAAAAGAAAAAAGGTTCATAGGTAGCAGTAGTTTTAAGTAACTTTCTAATTTTCTGTTGCAAATAGCAAATGCTACCTTTCTTGTATGGATTCTTTAAGAAAGGAAGCAAGGCAGAGCAGTGTCAGGTATAACCCAAAGTCACAAACACACTAAATTATAGCACAATGTTTACTTATTTACAAAGAGGATAAATCAGTAAATGGATTTCACCCCACAGAGGCAAAACGGGATTTATTAAAACGGGGGGAAAAAGGAGAGAAAAATAATTGTAGTCTGAGAAGAGTGCATCTTGTTTGTACAGTTCTTTAAAATTTTTTTTTAAAAAAAATCTTATTTATTCATGAGAGATACAGAGAGAGGCAGAGACACAGGTGAGGGAGAAGCAGGCTCCAGGCAGGGAGCCTGATGTGGGACTCGATCCCGGGACTCCAGGACCACGCCCCGAGCCAAAGGCAGGTGCTCAACCGCGGAGCCACCCAGGCATCCCTGTTTGTACAGTTTTTATGGGTTATCTGATTAGCTGGGAGCAGTCAGTCTGGACAGTCTGTCCGTAAGTAGGCGGACTAGGGGCACAAAAATATCTTGAATGTTTCTGCACTGTCTGGTAAACCTTTGTGAGCTACCCCATGAAGCTGCGGGACAGGCTGCTCCTCCGTGCCACCTGCCAGTGTCTCTCTCCGCACCTCCTTCTTAGTTGCACAGGGTCTGCACTGCCTCCCCCAATACGCCTGCTACTTTGCCGTAACTGTTTCCCCTACACCCTGACTTTTCACGGGATCCTCTCCCGAGTCCTAATTTAAAAGCGATCATGATCTGGGGTGCTCTGTAGCGTAGTAGTCTCTATCGCAAAGAGTCACAGGCATTTTTCTAATATGAATCTAAGATGCGGAACCAAAACGTGCAAAATTCGAGTTTTCCTTCACTCCGGCGTTTGTCTGAGGATCAACACCAGTATTCCCACACTGCAGCAAACAGCACGTGGCACGGAATCAACACCACTGCTAGATGAACTGGATGCACGGACTTGAAAAGGCACATCTCACATTTTAGGTAGCTATTTTGACCCTGACGTCTTAAACGCCACTCGAAATATTTTTGGTTGGACGATTAAGAGTCGCAGCGGCTGCGAACAGCTCCCGCCCCGCAGGAGGCTACCACAGGGGCGAATCCCGGCAACTCCTCCTCCTGGGCCTCGAGCTCGCGCGGATCCCGCAGCAGGAGCTCCTCCTGGCTCAGGGCGGGGCCACGTCCACGGCCCGTGCCATTTCGGAAATTACGATCTCCTGAGATCACGCCTTCCTCCGTGATGCTTCGAGGCCGGGTGTGCGCGCTCGCGCGTGTGCGGGTCGACGCCAGGGAGGAGCGTACCTTGACCGCTTGTATCACTTCAGCGCGCAGCGGGCACGGCGTCCGGTCGCCCCCGGGTGTCGGCCGACGGGCGCAGCCTCCGCGCTGTCGGGTCGGGAAGGACGAGGCTTCCGTCTCCACCGCGCCGAGGTGCGCAAGTCACCACTTTTTTTTTTTTAAAGATCCTAATTAATTATTCATGAGGGAGGGGGAGAGAGAGAGAGAGAGAGAGAGAGAGAGAGAGAGAGAGAGAGAGAGGGAGGGAGAGACCCGGGCGAGGGAGAGGCCTGCGGGCCCGCCGCGGGTCCCGCCCTCCGCCGCGGGGCCGCCGCTCTGCTCACCTCCAGCCTCGGGGGCCCCTCAGCGGCCTCGCCTGAGGGAGGGGAGCGCGGGCGGCGCAGCGGCGCGGACACTCACGCAGCGCCCCGGAAGCGCCCGCCGCCGCGGCCCGCGAACCCACGCCCGCGCGCCCAGACCCCGGAAACCCGGAATCCCAAGGCCCCGCGAACTCTCGCGCGACGTGAGGACGCGCGCCTCCGGCCGCCGTGACGTCAGCGGTTGCCATAGCAGCATCCTCCGGCAGTGCGCGAGCGGCGGGGACCGGGACGCCGTCGCGCTGCGGGCCCCTGCCCCGAGATGAGCGCGCCGGCCGAGGGCAGGCACCTCCCTGCCGCCCGAGACTGCGGCGCGGCGGCGGCGGCGGCGGCGGCGGCGGCGGCCGAGCCCGCCCCGGGCCCGCCGGACGCGACCCCGGGCCGGGCCGAGGGGATGGCGGACGCGGGTGAGGGCGGCGTGCAGACGGCCGCGGGGGGCGCCCCGGCCGGAGCCCGGCTGGCGGCGCCCCGGCGCTCCGCGTTCGAGTGTTCGGGAGTCGCGGCCGCGGGGCGGGCAGAGCGGGCCCCCGAGAGCGCCTGCTGCCCGCGGAAGGCTCGGCCGCCGCCGGTGCCCAGGGGCACGGCTGTCCGCGGAGAGAGCCGCGGGGCCCTGCTGCGGAGAAAGCCCTAGAAGCCTGCGGCGCGGGGGCGGCGGGGGCGCCGGGGGCGCCGGGGGCGAAGGCCAAGGAGCTGCCGACGAAGTGCGCCGCGCCGGCCGCCGCGGAGCGGGAGGGAGCAGCCGCGGGGGCGGCGGAGGGCGGGCCGGCGATGCCCGAGGAGGCGGAGGCGGCGCGGGCCGAGGCCCCGAAGGTCGGCAGCTGCGTGGACTCGCTGGAGGCCATCGACCAGGAGCTGTCGAACGTCAACGCCCAGGCCGACCGGGCCTTCCTGCAGCTGGAGCGCAAGTTCGGCCGCATGCGCAGGCTCCACATGCAGCGCAGGAGCTTCATCATCCAGAACATCCCGGGCTTCTGGGTCACGGCCTTCCGCAACCACCCGCAGCTGGCGCCCATGATCAGCGGCCGGGATGAGGACGTGATGAGGTACATGATCAATCTGGAGGTGGAGGAGCTCAAGCACCCCAGGGCCGGCTGCAAATTCAAGTTCACCTTCCAGGGCAACCCCTACTTCCGCAACGAGGGGCTCGTCAAAGAGTACGAGCGCCGGTCCTCGGGCCGGGTCGTGTCCCTGTCCACGCCGATCCGCTGGCACCGGGGCCAGGACCCCCAGGCCCACGTCCACAGGAACCGGGGAGGAGACACCATCCCCAGTTTCTTCAGCTGGTTCTCGGACCACAGCCTCCTGGAATTCGACAGGATCGCGGAGATCATCAAGGCCGAGCTGTGGCCCAACCCCCTGCAGTACTACCTGATGGGCGACGGGCCGCGCCGGGGCATCCGGGACCCCGCGAGGCAGCCGGCCGAGAGCCCCAGGTCCTTCCGGTTCCAGTCCGGCTAGCGGCGCCCCGGCCGCCCGCGCCCCCGCGCCCCCGCGCCCCGAACCTGCGCCTGGCCCGCAGCCGCCGTCTGTCCGCCCGTCTTGGCGCGGCCCCGCCGCGGCCCTGCTTCTCCTCGCCCCTCAGTCGCTTGCAAGGTCGACCCTTGGATGCTCGCGTCCGCCCCCGGCCCTCGGGCCCCGCGCCCTGGTCCACGTCCCGCGTGCACGCGCCGCCTCGGCCCGGCCCGGCCCGGCCCGGCCCCGCCCGGCCCCGCCCTCAGTGCAGCTGCTCACCGGCCGCCGCGCGGCTGAGGCGGCTGAGGCGGGAATGAGGCCGCCGGCGAGCGCCCGGTGCAGCTGCGTGGCTCCTCTGCCGGGGGCCCCGTGGCTGCGGGCAGGTGGGCAGCGCTGTGTGCCTGCGCCTGGAGCCGCCGCGGCCCCTGGACCTGGGCAGCCGCCCCCTCCCTCCCCCCCCCGGGGACCCGGAGGACCCGTTTGCGCTCCGTGGGGCCGTCCCTCCCCCTCCCCCTCCCCCCCCTCTAGAACAGCTCGAGCTCCGAAGTGCAGAGCCACGTGGGCCAGAGCGGCCTTTGTGCTTCGCCCGCTCCCGCCCTGCAGTGTCGGGGGGAGGACGAGAGCCCCGAGAGCCGGCCCCGGCCCTTCCCGCGCTCGTCCGCCCCCGCCCCCCAGCTCCGAAAGTCTCCGACCGAGACCTGTGGGCGACTGGTGGCAGCCGTGGCCGTGGCGTCGGGGCCGCGGCGACCCCCTCGCCCCGCCCGTTCCCCGACTGCTGCGAAGTGGTCTCCGAAGGGCCCCGGGAAGCTGGAGCCCGGGGGGTGGGGGTGGGGGGGTGAAGCTTGTCCGGGAGCCCAGGGGGACTTGATGTGCTTGATGTTTAAACAGGATGCTTGGAGGACTTTTCCCGAATTCCCTTGAATTCACCAGTAGATTTTTGTACACAGAAATGCAAGTCTGGATGTCTTCTCTCTGTTACTACAGGAGTGATCTTCTCTGGAGTATCGGTGGTGTACGCTCCTTGTTTCTCTGTGTTTGAGTGAGGTCCTGTTCATTCCTTTCTCTACCTTTGCTTGCCGGCAAAATCGACACTTGGAGGCCTGCTTTTTGCTCGTAATTGAGAACGTGTGCAAAAGTATCGAACTTGTTTCCTGTGCACTCTGAAACCTGTGAACACTCATTCATATATCAGCTTGTCCTGGTGTCTTCACGCGTAGTTCTGTTCTTAGAAATATGATCTGAATGTGATCTTTGAGATTTTGCAAGTTGTTGCCATGTCTTGTGAAAGTAAAGCCCTGAAAACCCCCCATAACTCGTATTGTCGCGATATTTCTTGCCCTGATAGTAACGTGGTACCCGACATCTTATGTCCCTAACCAGTGTAAGTACTAGTAGAATTGCTCTGTCAAACTAAACAGGGTCGTTAAGTACTTTAGTATTCTGTGTGCTCAGAGGAAAAATAAAGTCTGTCAGTCTGCTGTATTTCTTGTTTTCACCAAAAAATAAAAATGAAGTTCTGTGTTGTCTAGTCCAATAAAAGATTGAGAGATCATTAAAGTTATCAAATTATCACAGTAAACATTTGTCCTGAAGTTTCCAAAAAAAAAAAAAAAAAAAGCCACCAAATTTCTAAGGTGCTTTTTTGCTTAGAAAATGGTAAATAAGAGGCCTAACTACATGCTCATGAACATAATTTTTCTATTCAACCAGTATAGTTTTTGAAGGTAATTAAAGCACCATTTCTTGTTTTTGGTCACTTACTTAAAATATTTACAGTGGAAAACATTTTTGGCTTTTTATGTTTTGATTCCAGGTAATCTACCTACACTGTTCTATTAGTTTCAGGTCTACAATACAGTGATTTCAACGATTTTATATGTCCCCTGGTGCTCATTTTAGCAAGTGCGCTCCTAAATCCCCATCAGGCATTGAAGGTATCCCCCAGCATCCCCCACCACCTCCGGTCTGAGCCATCAGTTTGTTCTCTATAATTGACTGTTTCTTGATTGGTCTCTCCCCCCCCCCCCCCCCCCCGTTTCTTAAATTCCACATATGAATGAAGACCGAATGGTATTTGGCTTTGACTGACTTAGTGGAAAACTATTGTTAATGCACCATCGTTGTTTACTACATTTGTGTTAACCGTGATCTTACTCTTTCCTCAGCAGAAGATAGATTTTTGGAAGGAGTTAATCATTGTATATTCTACAAGTGCTTCTTAATTTCTTTTCCTACAAGGTGCAGTGCTTTAAAAAGAAAGAATAACAAATTGTGACTGACATAATACCTAGAAACCAGATCCCACACATCCCAATCTCAATGACTAAGTCCTGTTTTGCTGGTCAGCAGCTGTCACATGAAGGGTTAGGAGTTGGGAGGGCTCTGGCTACTGCAAGATCTGTGAAAATGAATGGTATTTGTAGCCATCTAAACAAAAATTTTACATAAATGGCCCCAAATTATTACTAAACAGACCTGCTGACTCTTGGTGCAGTGCATTCTTGCAAGTTTTACTTGCCTAAGTATAATTTTTCTAGGCCTGGATAATTTTTTTTTTTTTAAGATTTTATTTAGTTATTAGAGACACCAAAAGAGAGACAGAGGGAGAAGCAGGCTCCACGCAGGGAGCCCAACGTGGGACTCAATCCCCTGGTCTCCAGGATCAGGCCCTGGGCCGAAGGCGGAGCTAAACTGCTGACACACCAGGGCTGCCCTAGACCTGGAAAATTTTAAATTTTAGAGAACTACGTTCTCATTGCAACCTCTATACCTATCTTGATCGTAAATTATACTTGTAGTGTTCATTTTACCTTTTCAATTCAGTGATTTTTTTCTCCTGCATTGTCTCTCTTATCCTTTTCTGGACATGGTCAGAAAAATGTCATTTTTATTGTCGTTGGTTTATTATCAGCTTTAACCAATAGTATTCATTTTCCTAGTAGGTTGGTGCTACTCTTTTGTTAGATTACGATGGTTTCTGTTCTGTTGAATAAAATTATACTAAATTAGACATTCTGTAGGTTTCACTTACCCATTGGTATACTCCTATGTCCCTGCCCCATTTCTTTTCATTGCCTTTTTTCTTCTCAATTCTGGACCCAAATTATTCCTTACGAAGACCTCCAAATCAGTTATGAGGTTCTCGCATCCTCTGATCACCAAACAAGTATCATTTGGTCTGCACAGGCCTATTGCCCTGTTAGCAGGGTCATACTTCATAATTTCCCTAGTGCCCACATAACAGAATCTCCTTGGGCATTCTTCCATTTCTGGGTATTAGACCAGACGATGACGAAAGTCTTGTCTAACCTCCCTTGCTCAAGGTCCCTTCTCCCAGTTACTCCTCTTGCAGCTCCTGCTTCTTTTTCTCGAGTTGACTCAAGTTTCTGTAATGTGTGTGTCATAAAAACCAAAATTATCTGTATTCTTATTAAATTCCTTGTTCTACGGGATCCCTGGGTGGCTCAGCGGTTTAGGGCCTGCCTTCGGCCCACAGCGTAACCCTGAAGTCCTGAGATCTAGTCCCACATCGGGCTCCCTGCATGGAGCCTGCTTCTCCCTCTGGCTCTCTCTCTGTATCTCGCATGAATAAATAAATAAAATCTTAAAAAAAAAAATTCCTTGCTCTATAGAGTCACAATTTGAGCCTTGGATATCTGTTCGCATCAGAGACACCGTCTCTGGTTTGACAGTCCTAAGAAATCTGAGGGGTCAGGCACGTCCGTTTATGTTCTCCTGTTACTTTCACAATCCCCACACAAGCTTTACTATCTCCGTTTAAATAGTTAAGGAAACAGGCTCAGAGGGCAGCCCCGGTGGCTCAGCGGTTTAGCGCCTGCCTTCCGCCCAGGGCGTGACCCCGGGGTCCCGGGATCTAGTGTCACGTCGGGCTCCCTGCACGGAGCCTGCTTCTCCCTCTGCCTGGGTCTCTGCCTCTCTCTCTCTCTGTGTGTGTGTCTCATGAACAAATAAATAAAATCTTTTTTTTTTAAAGAAAACAGGCTCTGAAAGTTGAAGTAGATGTGCCTAAGATGCAAGTCACAGAGACGTGTATTTTTTAATTTCAAGCCTAGATTATCTTCCACTACTATCATAAACATTTGTACGAAATTTGGCATAAAACAAAAACTATGTGAATAATCAGGACTCAGCTGAAGGTTATTTTTCATTCATTCATGATTGGTCTTTGAAAGGGGCACTTTTATCACTTAGTTCAGGGTTCCATACAGTCTGCAGATGAAAACGCTACTGAGATTTCCATATGCGATCTTGATTGCTGCAAACATGAATGAAAATAGAAGTTTGTTGTCTTCATCAAAGGGGGTAAATGCACCAAAAGGACTTTAAATCTTATACTTACGATATTTAGTTGCTAGGAACTGTAAGGACATGTTGACATTTGTATTAGAGAATTTGAGTATTTTTAAATTGATTCAACGTGCTGATTGCTTTTAATAGGCACTTAGTAATTTATTTCTTTATTTTAATCATTTTTTTAAAGATTAAAAAAATTTTTTTAAGTACAATCTCCCCCGCTCAGTGTGAGGGTAAACTCACAACCAAGATCAAGAGTCTCGTGCTCTACCGACTGCGCCAGCCAGGTGCCCCAATCTCTTTGTTAAGCTTTAGTCTTTACCAAGAAAGTGCCAAGGTCGAAGCACTAATACAGTAAAATAAAGTTTTTTTTGTTTTTTTTTTAAGACTGAGAACAGGTGCATGGTATGAGAACCTGTCAGGCAATCTATGTGATGCTGTAGTTGTCATTCTAAGTAATGACCTAACTTCTCTCAATAGACTCAGATATCCCACCTCCCATTAAGTTTGGAGCAGTTTTCATTATTCCTTTTCCATTTTGGTTTCCTCAGCACCAAAGAGGGAGATTTGCTCAATATTCAAGGTGAACAATGGAACCTGAATATGAAGGAAGAGTAGACCTGCTTACCGAGGGCTTTAGTGTATGCGGCTCCCAAGAAGAGTAGAGCTCATCATACGTTTTACTCCCATGGTTCTTGATTCTGTTTGACCCTAACAGGTAAGTTCTATGGTATAGAACTTTGCTTTAATATTTTTTACCGAATTGTGTTACCTTAGGACAGAGCCTGTTTATTTCTAATCCCTCACATGTCCTAGCACGGTGTGACTGTTAAATTGAAATGTGGTCTTACACTGAGAATTTGCCCCAATCTACTTCCAATGTTGGAAGACTTAGGCGTCAGTCAACTAAGGGCATGAGTTTTGGGGCGAAACTTGGGCTCATGTACAGACTCTGTTCCTTAGTAACAGTACAATTCTTAGCAGGTATGTTATTTAACCTCTGTCAATTTCAGTGTCCTTATCTGTAAGATTCTATTTTATTTTTTAAAGATTTTATTTATTTTTTCATGAGAGACAGGGAGAGGCAGAGACACAGGCAGAGGGAGAAGCAGGCTCCGTGGAGGGATCCCGATGCAGGACTCGATCCTGGGACCCCGGGGTCACGCCCTGAGCCCGAAGGCAGACACTCAACCACTGAGCCACCCAGCATCCCTATCTGTAAAATTTTAATAATTATACACACCTCATAGGGATACTGTAGGAAATAAGGAACATGAAGTAGCCTAGTAGAGTTAGCACTTACCACCATTATTTCTGAGGATGATTCTAGAGACCAACAACAGACACCTTTTTAGATTTACCCTATATGAACTGGACGCAAAGATTTTCAAGGGCCTCACACTAGGTGAGTTAACTTTTGAATCTATCCTAGTCTTGCACTAATCTGGAAATCAGCTCTTAAACCTTTTTCTCAAGAGCCTGAGAAGACATAAGGGAATGTTCCTGAAACATCACATTTAAGAAAAAGCTATCCATGTGATTCTAATACGGAGTCAAGGTTATCATATCCAGAGATGGTTTGACATTCCACTCTATGCTGGTTTGTTACGTACAGCATAATCACATAGATTTGATTTTCATTCAAACCAGTTCAACAAGTGTGTGTGCACACACATATGTGTGTGTGTGTATATATGTGTATACATATATTTGCTTTAAATACACATAAAGTTGTTGGATATGAAAATTGGTGGGGAAAGAGAACCTGATTTGAAGTTTAACAAACTCAGAAGTACAGTTGATCCTTGAATAATCTGGGAATTAGGGCCTCCTCCCCACGCATAGTCAAAAATACATGTGTACCATGTAACTCCCCTGCCACACCTGAGGAACACCCTACTGTTGTTAACTGAAAGCTTTACTGAGAACAACACATATTTTGTGTATGTGTTACATGCTGTATTTTTATAATATGGTAAGCTAGAAAAAAAATGTTAAAATCATAAGGAAAATACATTTTCAGAATTGTATCAAGAAAAATCTGCACATAAGCAGATCCGTGCAGTTCAGAGCCTTGAACTTTAGGAGTCAACTTCAGTTGATTTTAGATTGCAATTCATGGTTGAGCTGAAGTTTCTGCTACCTCAATAGTCCAAAAACCAAATTCTGACAGACTTGTTACTACCATTGTGACATGCAGATCTTTCCTCTGCTGAGACCAAGAGTGGCCAAAAAGTAAATCTCAAATCCCTTGCATTTATTTGCAGTTATCTTTTAGATGATGAGTTTGCTTGTATGCTAATACCAAACTAAGTCCTCTGTCCATTTACATAATTTCTCTTGCCTTCTTGCTTCATTTAACTTTATTGAAGAATATACAGCTTTTCTTCTTTGATTTCTTTTTTAATTTTTTAAAAGATTTTATTTATTCATGAGAGACACAGAGAGAGACAGAGGCAGAGACACAGGCAGAGGGAGAAGCAGGCTTCCCGCAGGGAGCCCGACGCGGGACTCGATCCCAGGACCCTGCGATCATGCGCTGAGCCAAAGGCAGATACTCAACTGCTGAGCCAGCCAGGGACCCCTCTTTTTAATTTTTATAGTGCCATTTTTGGATTATTTTTACTTTTCATGTTCATTTAGCAATCCCGGCAGTTTTTAGACACAAAAAATTTAAAAGTCTAATTATAGTCTAACAGAAAAACAACATTCATTAGAAGCAGAGACTCTGCTACAAGGGTAGAAGGAAACTTGGAAATAAACTCTAACCTTGTCTTGACAAGATGGAAGAAACGGAGGTCAGATTAGGTAGGTGGTAACTTGTTCGGATTCCTTTGGTGACTACTGGTAAAAGTAGGATGAGAAGTTCTGAATTGAGTCCTTTTTTCTTTTTTTTTTTTCACTCAGTGACCAAAAAAGTACAACTAACTTATTTTGGGCTTCTCATTTTTCTTATTAACAGTAGCAGTTTATAAGCATTTACAGATACATTATTCTTTGCCATTGACAAAATAAATCCACATAAGGAAAAATAGCTTTATTTTTAAAGAAATTAAATCTCTCTTTGTATACATGAGACATCATCTTTGATTTAGCCCTAAGCTGACTGTGTGTTACCATATTCCAGTAAGAGTCTGGAAAGCAATTTCAAGTACATTAGCATATACTTAGTAGGTATCACACAGAGCTACTGACGTTGAGGAAAAAATTTCAGTAACTATCTGCCCACCCTGAGATACTCATTCTCACAATACATTTGGGATTATTTGAGCACTTAAAAATTCAATGAAATAATTTATCTTTTCATTGCATGTGTCAATATGTGAAGTTCTCCACTACAATCCAGGTGAAATAATGATAGTGACTGTTGTGTTTTCTGACACTGTCCTAATGGACAGAGTGAAATTAGAGCATAAAGAGTGGCCGAGAATTTACTGTAAACATCTGGCTTCTGACATCTTGCCACAAGTAGCTACTGTCAGTCCTACATAAAGCACGTGGAACACAATAATCCTGGATTGTGGTATAACTATAAAACCTCTGAAAGTGTTTTTATCGACCTTTTTCTCATTATTATCCCCTCCCAGTGGAAAATTAAATTCAACCAAATTAAATTTAACTAGTAGATTTATATTTTTCCCTAATGAGAGAAATTAATACCAAAGAATAAGATTTACTGGGCAGGGTGGAGCTTTGGAGGGCCACAATTCATTGCAGTATCTGATATTTTCTTCACCCCAAGAACCAATTTTTGTACCATTGAGAATATATGCCTTAAAAAGTGAATGAAAATTAATTATACAGCCTTCAACACTAGTAGGGGGAAAATCCTTATGAGTAACATTGAAGGTTGAAATAGTTGGCTTCTCATTTCTGTCCCATACTGGCTGTGTGTCTCAAAGAAATCCTCTTTATCTTCTTGTTTCGGAAAACATAAAAATAGCATAAAACCTGATAACTTGGAAATATCATTTATTCTCACTAGACTCAGTGTTTTTGGCTGTAAGTGGAAGGAACAGATATAGATCAGTTATTCTCAATTCTGGCTGCATTTTCCTGGGGCAGGTAAATGTCTGTGCTCATCTCTTATTTCCAGACCAATTAAACCAATGTCTGGAGGTTACGGTGTAGCTAGTGATTCTTGAACCTTAGTATATGATTCACACTAATATTAAACACAGGTTGCTGGGCTGCATCCCCAGAGTTTCTGATTATGCAGGTCTTGGGTGGGGCCTGCAAATTTGAATTTTACCAGGTTCTCAGGTGATGCTGTGCTAATAGCTTGGGGACCACACTTTGAGGACCACTGGTCTAGCATATGTGTAAATGTGTGTGTGTGTGTGTGTGTGAATATGTATGTATATATCCTCCCAGGTGAGTCCTAATCTCAGAACTATTGGTGTAGAAAATATTAATAAGGTTCTTTTCAGTTCTAAGATACTGAGATTTCAGTATAATGAGAGTTGCTGGGCATCAAGATGTTCTATACAGAAAGGAGACCTATGGAAAAACATTATCGATTTCTTGGTCAATTATCATTCAGAATATGTTCCTATAAAGCATTTCACATATTTTTTAAAAAGTAACATTTTACAGTACATTTGCTGCATATATGGTTCTTCATTTTTCAGTAAAGACAGTCTATTTGGTTGTCAGTGTCTCATTATTTGATAGAATCAACGGAGGCTTTGGATAGTAGCCAGCTGTTTTTGAATTGCTTGAAGAGAACCTTGAGAATTTGTAGTCCAGGGGTAATTCTGGAAAAAAAAATTTTTTTATTATTCTGCAAGTCTTAAAAGGCTGTTTATAAACATATCAAAATTTGAGTCATTGATAATAAAAACTTAATTTTTAGAGTTTAACAATTTCAGTATTTCTTTTGTCGCTTGGATAGGTTGCACGTAAGATGAAGAGTATAAATGTTTTTCTCTATAAAATTTACAATAATATTTAAGTCAAAATATATTTAGATGTTTTTTTAAATTTTTTTTTATTTTTTTTAAATTTTTTTTTTTTAATTTTTATTTATTTACGATAGTCACACAGAGACAGAGCTAGAGAGAGAGGCAGACACATAGGCAGAGGGAGAAGCAGGCTCCATGCACCGGGAGCCCGACGTGGGATTCGATCCCGGGTCTCCAGGATCGCGCCCTGGGCCAAAGGCAGGTGCCAAACCGCTGCGCCACCCAGGGATCCCATGATTTTTTTTAATTTAAAAGTCTCTCAGGCTCTACTCAGAGCATCATGTAACTGATAAGTGAGAACTAATAATCTTCATGGCCCGAAGCTGTAAGAGAGTTACTAAGAATAATTTTTGAATACTTAGATAAATAAGTATTTTAATATACATAATGTGGCAGCTTTCTCCATATGAGAAGCAACACGCACACACACGCACACACGCATGTGCACACAGCCACAAGGAAACTGGGAGAGAGAACATAAAACGCATACTTTATTGATGGCGAGGAATTGTGACAACTTTATATAAGTTTCTCAAAAGCTGGCCTTCAGATATCTTCTTCCTACATTTCTTCAAACACGGTGATGTGTGTCATGTTACGATACTCATTTCATATGCAGATACTGGGCAATAATCCTTATTTCAAAAATTTCATAAGTCCTGAGTACTTTGAAAATGACACTAGCATAAAGATTATTCTGTATTTTAAATGCCAGTGAGAATCCTCAAGCTCAAGGAGTTAATCCTGGGGAAAAAACCAGTGCTGAGATCGGGAACAAGGAATACTGCCTTTCTGATGCCGGAGAAACCTAAGATGCTGTAAACAGAAAAACGTTCAATATTACAGAATTTCATTGGTCTCGATTGCTCACTTGGCTGTGGTATGTTTTGAGCCACACATTAAAAAGGCATTGGAAAGGCAATTGCTAATACTGAGTGTCTAAAATTATATATCTGAGCTCTTGGATTTCTGATAAGCCACGAAGACAATACAGGCTAACAGGTCAACCAGCCGTCTGTTTGTCTTTCCTACAATTGCCTGAAGTGAATGTTTAGGTCTCTGCGTAACTATTATTATAAGGTTAAAAACGGTCACATCATCACAGTGCTTGTAAACCAATCATTACTGTAATGTATATAAGTACAAACTTATAAAGTCTGTAAAAATGAGTATTTGTATTTAACTGTCAATGAGATAACCCACTCTAAGGAGGCATCTATCTAGAAAGAAACATTTCATGAATGCAAAAAGGTTCTCAGAGGCAAAGAGGGAGTATTTGTTTATTTTTCACCTCTTATCTTATCTTATCTCATTTAAAGCAAACATCTGATTTTCTCTTCCAGGTAGCAGAAAAGACCCATCACTGTTAAGAAATATGGGCATTTTATGACCAGGTGAGAACAGATGACTCTTTTGTCAAAAACAAGGCTCTGCACGCTGGGGATTCAACAGGAGGGAAAGAGTGGCACCTCGGTTTTAGGAAAGTCATTTCTGGTGCTATTTGGAAGAAGAGAGACGGGCAGACAAAACCCGAATTTTTATTTACCACAATATTCTATTAAACCCTGTGTATTAAATACACTCTAATATCAACAATATTACCTACCAATTAAATTAATTGAGCCAAAAGGAACAAATATTCTTGAACAGTAAGTTCTATGTAAAATATATTAGAAACAGAACAACTCTTGGAACTTTTTTTAAAAGAGATGTTAGCAGGATAACACGTATATAAAGATTCTATTCTGTCGTCAACAGGTGAGGCCACGGCCATGGTGCTTTGCTTCAGCCGTCTTCCTCCTGGAGAGGGGAGGTCCGGCACCCAGGAGCATCGGCCCTACTGACTGTTCCTGCAATGCCCGATCTCTCCTCTCTGAGAACATGGACACGGCAGGGCGCTAATTAGAGACCAACACCTGCCTCTGCCCTGGGCAGCAAAATCAGCAAGCCAGTATGGCAGGGCCTCCCTCTCCTTCTTTCCCCACAAAAAATCGGTACCTGTTTAGCTTTGTCTGACTACCGTTAAGGCCTTTTTTTTTTTTTTTTTTTTTTTTTCTTTTTCCTTCTTACTATTTTCTCCTGAGAAAAGTCAGAAAGACAAAAGCTCAGCGCCAGGGTCTTTTCCAGGAGGCCGAGGAAGAAAGCTTTTGGGAAATGAAGATGGAAGCTGCACTAATGTTATCACTGCTTCTTTCTGGGAAAGTGATTACCCCAGAAGATGGAGGGGGTCATTTTCCAGTTCTTCAGAGAAATATTTAAAGCCTGGAATAATGAAGATGCACTTTACTTTGACTTTCTTACTGTTTCATAACTGCATCCCATTGGACCAGGGTTGATCCACGTACTATACAGTAATTCATTGCCTTCCATTATCACATTACTTTATTCTCTCTATGAATTTGAATCAATTTGAAATAAAGGAAGAGTAAAATATAAAAATTAAAAATAATAGGTTTGATTCTGGGCTAGCCCCTGTTTTCAAATCACAAGTTCCATTTCTTTGACAGGAAAATTGTTTGTAAAAGGAAGACATATATTTAGGTGATCTTTCTTTAATTTTATGTGTACAAGCATGGAACAAAGTGAAAATCAGACTATTCTTTTGAAATGAACTAGGAGATCTTATTTTAATGAGCAGGATATGCTGACATCCCGGGTTTGTATGCCGGCATAGGGAGTGGCCTTGTGGGAAGGGTATATGTGCTTCAGGGTCGTCATTATCATCACGTCACCACCACGACCCGATCAATGACTCAGATGAGCATCTTGCTTTACTTCCTTGCACATCCATCTCGTGAGGGCGGAAACACAGCTTGGTGTATTATTCCTGATTTAAGAAAAGAATCTAAGGTTCAAAAAACCTAAGTAGACCTCCGCTTAGGACCTGGAGCTAGGACAGCTAGCAAAGCCGAATAAATACAAGCATCAGGGCGAAGCCCCTGGAGAGGCCGCCAGGACCCGGGGCCTGGGCCACCCGAGCTCGGGAGGCAGGCGCCGAGCAGGGGCAGTGGCGAGGGGGCAGGGGGACTCGTGCCAGGAGTCTGCCGCGGGGGGACGGCTGCTGGACTCTGCTGGCTTCTCCCCAGGAATGTTGCTAAGGTCTGGGGCGGAACTGCAGGAAATTAATGAGCGAGCAGAAGCACAAACCTCTGCAAGCACAGTGGGTTTTTCAGCAGTCTCGTCTTTTTAAGAAAACGGAGGGACGAAGCTCTGACCTTAATCAGGGGCCCTATGAAGACCTCAGACTCTCAGATCTATTTCTGAAAACTGAATTTACTGTCAGGAAGTCGTTCTCTTTCATGCTAGTAATGGATTCCTTCCTTCATGTCTACTTTGCTTCACTCAATACAGCGAACTCTTTCTTTTGTTATCACTGACATGGTATCGCCTCTTGCCACCTTTTGATATTCAAACTGCCCGTGTCCTGATGTTTCCGAGAGGTCTTTTCTGAACAGCTCAGAGTTGGGTTCCGTCGTTTCATTTTTGCCCTCTATACTTAATGTGATTACTCAGCTTTAAATCTGGCATCTCACTGAATACTCTCCATTTGTCTTGTTTTTCATACTCTTTTCTTCCCATTGTAGTTTTCTTTTAGATTTTAAGATTATTTTACATAATTAGCCCAGGATGTATCTCATTACGGTTTCTTTGGTAGTTACCCTAGAGATTGCAACATGCATTTTTGACTTATCATTATCTAACCGTATAATAAAAGGATTGAGGGATCCCTGGGTGGCGCAGCGGTTTGGCGCCTGCCTTTGGCCCAGGGCGCGATCCTGGAGACCCGGGATCGAATCCCACGTCGGGCTCCCGGTGCATGGAGCCTGCTTCTCCCTCTGCCTGTGTCTCTGCCTCTCTCTCTCTCTCTGTGTGACTATCATAAATAAATAAAAATTAAAAAAAATAAAAAATAAAAGGATTGACATCGTTAAAACTTTTTTAAGATTTAAATTCAGGGGATCTCTGGGTGGCGCAGCGGTTTGGCGCCTGCCTTTGGCCCGGGGCGCGATCCTGGAGACCCGGGATCGAATCCCACGTCAGGCTCCCGGTGCATGGAGCCTGCTTCTCCCTCTGCCTATGTCTCTGCATCTCTCTCTCTCTCTGTGTAGCTATCATAAATAATAATAAAAAAAAAATTAAAAAAAAATAAAATTTAAATTCAACTTAATTAACATATACCATATTATTAGTAATTTGAGTCCCAGAATGATGTTATCTTCCTTTAAAGAGAATATTCTCAATCTAGTTTTAGGGATTTAGCTGACCTAACACTGAGCTTTAGTTATCCTTAAGGTAAATTCAGGGTCGCAACACAGATGAAGAGAGTCCATCAGGCCCACCGGTCCTCAGGCAGATCCCACCTTCCACTTCCCCAGTCTGGAGGCTCAGGAAGCTAATGCAAGTCCCACGCACTTGCTCCGGGACCCTCCCTAGGATTAGCAAACACTAAGGGAAAAGCAGCTCCCAAAGTCGGGTTCACCTTACTTGGCTTCTTTTGCATCTTATCCTGGTAATTTTTCCTTTTATCCTAGGACTCCAAGCAGACTTAAAAAAAAAAAAAAAAGAAAAGAAAAAAAAAAAAAAAGAGGCCCAGCTTTTGTAGTCTGTGGTTGGCTCCGGGAGACAGGCAGGTCCTAACTACCCGGGTTGCCGTGACCTAGGTGTATCTGAAGAAAAACAAATGCCATGGGAAGATTTTCTTGTTTGAAAGGCAAGAATTCTAGTATTTACATCATTGCTGTGTAACAGCTAAAGTTCATAAGTATTTTCCTGCTTACCTGCTATTGCTTCAATACTTGGAATTGCGATTGTGCTGTAAGTACTGATTCTCTTACAAGACCAGGTGTAGACCAGTGAGTCTTCTGTGTTTTCCAGTCCCGACACTGAATCAATAAAAAAAGAGCCCCACTTCTTAGATAATGTGTTTAGAGGCTTTGCCTTTGGTCCCTGAAACAAGAGAACAGAACAATGAAAACTATCATTAATCTCCAACGTCACCAGTTTTTCCCTCGGTAAGTTAATCAAAATAGAAAAGCTGTAGGAATTTCAAACCGTATCCTATATAAAAAGGAAAACAGAGCTAGAAGTTCTTTCCTCCCCCGGGGGCACCTGGGTGGCTCGGGGTGAAGCGTCTGACTCTGGGGTTTGGCTCAGGTCATGATCTCAAGGTCTGAGATGGAGCCCGGTCGGGCTCTGCGCTGAGCACAGGCGCTGCTTAAGGTCCTCTCTCTCCTTCTCCCTCTGCCCCTTCCCCCGAGCTGCTGTCTCTCCCTAAGAAAAAAGGAAAAAGAAGTATCCCCCCAGTTTTGTTTGGGGACCCTCCTCATCCTCTGGGATCTGGCCTGGGTGCCATCTAGGACACTGTCCTTGACCTCCCACCCTTACGTTAGATTAGCTCTTCTCCGTTCCCCCCGGGTTTGTCCCTGACCTACTACTCGGCACGTCACCTTTATCGTACTATGTACTTTTCAGTCTTTTAAAAAACATTTTATTTATTGGAGAGAGAGAGAGAGAGAGAGAGAGAGAACACGGGGCAGGGCCGAGGCCGCGGCCGCAGCGGCTGGCGCGGAGCAGGGACCCGGATCGGGCCGGAGCCACGGGCAGCTGCTTGGCCGTCGGGCCCAGGCGCCCCGCGGTCCACTTCCCACAGAGCACGGACCACAGGTCAGACCTTCCTCGCCTCTCAGTGCGCCCTCAGGGCTCGGTGCCCGCCGGGCCGAGAGGCAAACTCCCGGACCGGGCGAGGGACTCGTTAAGGAAACGCTTCTCCGTGTTTTGCGGACACGGCGGCTGCGAGCCCTGAGCCTCGCGTCCACCAGGCCGGCCACAGGGCCCGAGGACGCGTCACTGCTTCCGTCGGTGAAAACGTCCTGGCGCTTTCCTGCTCACGGCAGAGCCCGCGGCCCTGATGAGGGGCTCGGGGACCGTCCTCGGAGCGCGCCCCCGCCTGCCTGACCTTCTCTGTACGACTTCGTCCAGCAGCCGGGCCTCGTCCGCCTACTCAAGCTCCCCTCGTCCCGTGCCCTCGGCCTCTAACGCATCCCTAAGGGGGCGCCGTGTGTGGCTCAACCCACCTCGGATCCCTGAGCAGGAGGCCTGAGCTGAAGACTCAGCACATGTACACGCTGAACCCGACAACGCTGTTAGGCTGGCTTTTTTTTTTTTCTTAAGATTTTATTTATTTATTCATGAGAGAGGCAGAGACCCGGGCAGAGGGAGGAGCAGGCTCCACGCAGGGAGCCCGACGTGGGACTCGATCCCGGGTCTCCATCTCCAGGATCGCGCCCTGGGCCGAAGGGAGACGCTCAACCCCTGAGCCCCGCAGGGGTCCCTAGACCGGCTGCTTGATGCTGAACGAACGGTCTTGTTAAGGTTTCTCTCTGCTCATCCGATAAACTCTAACGTTTGGCACTTGTGATGAGGATTGTGCGTGCTGCTCTGGAAAATGTGGACGTGTATGTACACACATACACACAACTACCCAATCTTATCCCCAACTACAGGGAAGGAGATTTCACAGGGGTGGATCAAAGAGGGGAGGACCCACCTGGCTAACATATCCAGGTGTCTTGAACAAAAATATCTACTATTGATACAAAGTCATCATTTTTGGTACTTATTGTTGCTCATTGGGATTTGAACTTGAGAAATTCTTCCTTACTCTAAGGCCACAAAAATATCCGCATGATTTTCCCCAATTAATTTTAGAGACGAATTTCTTATATTCAGGTCTATAATCCATTTAGAATTTATTTAAGGGGGAAAAAGGGACTCATTTTTCTCCATATATCGGGACTACTTACTCAGTGCTGCTTACTAAACTATCTTTTCCGGCTGATTGATGATCCTCTATCATGCATCACACTTACACGGTAACTTGCAATGTGATACAGGGTCCTATGTCTGGGTTCTTTTTCCTCTCCTCATTGACCTTTTTATCTATTTTGTTATTAGTACTGTACTAAGAAATTACTGTAGCTTCCTAACATGGTTAGTTATCTAATAGGGTGAGATTCCTCCCCTTTATTATCCTTTTTCACAAGATTATCTTAGCTATTTGTGGGCCTTCAGGTTTTGGCTAAATGCAAGATCAATTTGAGAAGGTCCAACAAAATCTTCTGGGATTCTGACATTACGTTGCCTTATAAATAAATCTGAGGAAAATAGGTATCAGCATTATCTTAAAATATGGTCTATCTCTCCATTTTTCCATTTGTATTTAGGATCTTTTAAAGATTTTAGTTTTAGGTGCAGAACAACATAATTTGGTATCTCTACGCATTGCAAAATGATCACAGTGAGTCTAGTTAACATCTGCCATCATACAAAAATCATAATTTTTTTCTTATGGTTGGAGCTTTAAAAATCTACTCTCCTAGCAACGCTCAATTATGAAGTATAGTATTATTAACTATAGTTACCACTAAGTTGCCAAGACTCATTTATTTTATAACTGGAGATTTGTACTTTTGATTCCTTTTACCCGTTCAGAATCTGTAATAGAGACTTAAAAACTTCTCTATCAAGGTCTCATGAGATGTATTAAATTAATTCCTAGACGGTGATACAGTGATTATTTTCTTTGCTTTTGTAAATGATTTATTTCTCATCACATTTTTAAGTGCTTGCCGGTGGCACAGAGAAAAGCTACTGTTTTTCTTTTTAAGAGAGGGAGACAGGGTAAGCAGGGAGGGGCAGAGGGAGAGGGAGGCTGAAGCACCTCCACAGCCAGGTGGGGGCCTGACACGGGGCTCCCCCCACGACCCTGAGGGCATGACCTCAGCTGAAATCAGGAGTCCGACACTCACCTGACTGAGCCCCCAGGCGCCCCAACTATTGATTTCTGATTGCTGATGTGGACCCAGCATTTTCACAGCTCTCTTCTTCATCATGAGCGTTGATTCCCTCTGGTGGTCTATGCTAATTACCACATGACTCTGAAATAACCACATCTGGCGTCTTCTGACCCTAATTCCATAGTTCTTTTTCTTGTGGTGTCAGTCATTTCCGTGTTACACAATATAGTTAATGACAGATATCCTTTGTCTAGCTCAGAACTTTAAAGAGCATGTGTTTCCATTAAGTATGGCTTTTTCCCCATTAAATTTTTCCATCACAGATTATATCCTCACTGGGTTTCATTGGGTAGCCTTTCTCTAATAAAAGGCTGGCCCTTTCCTGTGTGCTGAGAATTCTCATCGTTAAAATGAATTATTTTGGCACCTAAATTTCATAATATGTCATTCTAAAAAGGTAAAGGATACATTTTTATTTGTTTTGATTTAAAATGAAGAAACAGATGAGAACAGTAATGAAGGAAGCTACAGAGGGGAGCTCCTTTTGGAGGCTAATCTTATGAGATTTAAGTCTGTCCAAGTAATTACAAGATTAACGAGGTGACTTTTGATTTATTTCCCAAAACAAAGATAAATAAAGACAAATTAGTCTTTCTTAGTCTCCTTAACTAGGTTTACTTTAATCATTAAAACGGGCCATTTTTGCTTATCTGTCGCGCTCTAGTAAAGTTGAGTGGATAATCAACAGACACAGTAGGATTCTAGAAAACAATCTCTTACATAAGCCTTTCAAGTACCATTTGAGATGTTCTCTGCCCTTATCTTGAGCTTCCTGTCACAAACGAAGGGAAGTAGAAAGTAATCTTTACATTCCAGACGGTTTACGCAGGGTGAAATTACTGGAAATATCTGAAAAATCGAATTCAAGCCTAAGTGAGACAAAATGCTAATCTCTACAGAATGTAGTAGATGTGAATGTTTTTGTTCAATGAGTACATTAATCCTGAAGTGATCTGGTTGCTTTGTTTTCAAATTATACCGTTAAAAGTTCACTTTAGCTGAATAAAGCCAACTAGAAACAGCAGGAAAGAATCTGAATTCTCAGGACATGCTGTGCTTACACCGAGCTTTGATGCGCCGAGAAGCGTCCGTGTAGAGGAAAGCAGACGAGCTTAACCACGAGAGCAGGCTGGTGTTGAGAATTTGTGGTCCTAGTTTGTGTTACGAGATAATTAAAAAAAAAAAAAAACCTCACCCAATTGTTTTAAACTTTCGCCACCCGGGGATCCCTGTTTTACACTTTTTAAGCTGCCTTTAAATACAAACAGAAAGGTGTCTCCTAGAGGCTCCTCCTCCATCTAGAGAAAACTAGGTTGGCCTGCGGCCCCTGCTGAGGATGCGCCCATCATACAAACACGCCTCGAGACCGAGACCCGAGACCGAGACCGAGACCCGAGACCCGGTGGGGTGCAGTCGGGCCGGGACAGCTCTGGGGTCAAGTGGCTTGGGGAGGTTTTGCTTTTTCAACATGAAGTGTCGGCCCAAAGCTGGGAATCTGCGGCAAAGCACCTGCCCCAGACCCTGCAGGCCAGGGGAGTCCATCTCCCACAACTCTGCTTAACACTGCGAGCTGGAGAAGAGTTCAGGGCTAAAACTGGAACCTTCTCAGGGCTTTATTCTGACCCTGTCACTGGGCCAACCCCTCCCACTCCTTGCTTCCTCACCCACGTTCAGTGCAGCAGGGCGGGCTGGGGAGGCAGAGCCTGATAGAGGGGAACAGTACTGCGAGCTTCTTAGGAAATAAAATTTTCAAGCTGTTGACTGACCAGGTCCTTTTCGATCATGTCGAAAAACCAGTTACGAGCTCTGTTCATGGGTTTGTGACTAATTAACAGGAGGAAAGGGATCCGAGGGGGAGGGCTACTGGTCAATAGAACACTGAAGGAACTTTCCCAGGGATTCTTCACCTCCTTAATACAGTACCTGTATTTTCAGATCGTTCTGAAGAAACCCAATCTCCTAATTTCTCTTTAGTGAAAACCTTCTCCAAAGTCGCTCAGGGTAGAAGGCCTACCAGCTGTTTTAAAGACGGGCAGCCCGGGGGGCTCAGCGGTTCAGCGCCGCCGTCGGCCCAGGGTCCCGGGATCGAGTCCCGCGTCGGGCTCCCTGCGTGGAGGCTGCTTCTCCCTCTGCCTGGGTCTCTGCCTCTCTCTCTGCCCTTCCCCCCACCCCTGCCCCGTGTCTCTCACAAATAAATAAATTAAATCTTTTAAAAAAGATAAAAGACGGTTTTAAAGGTCTTAAGTCAAATAGTCCAAAGAACTTCCAACATCACATTGAAGGCTAAATCCTACTCAATGGAAACCACATAAAAACCTGAATCCCTTATTCTAACATTTTATTGGGTTTACTTATAGTTATTATTTTTAATAGATTTTAGGTTTACAGATAAATAGAGCAGATAGTACAGAGAGTTCTCCTACATCTGTCTGCCTCCCCTTCTCCGCACTGTCTCTCCTATTAATAACATTTCGCATTAATTGATGTGGCACATTTGTTGCTCACTAATTAACCATTCTTAAAACCTTATTATTAGTGAAAGTCTACAGTTTACATCAGGGCTAACACTTTATGTCGCATAGTTCCCTGGGCTCTGACAAATGCACAATGTCATGTTCCCACCATTACAATGTCATACAGGGGACTTTTACCATCATAAAAATCCCTAATGCTCCATGTAGTCACCTCCTTTCTTCCTCCTGAACCCCCGGTCCCACTGGTCTTTTTCTTTTCTTGTAGTTTTGCCTTTTCTAGAAAGTCACATAGCTGCAATCATACAATACACAGCCTTTTTGCATTGCCTTCTTTCACTCAGTAGTATGCTCTTTCGGGTCCTCCATGTCTTGTGTGGTTTAATGGCTCATTTCTTTATTTTTTCTTTTTCTTTTTTCTTTATTGTTTATTTATTTTTTTATTTTATTTTATTTTTTCTTTTTTGAGTTTTTCCTTCTTTACAACTGTTCCACTGGGGTGAATTTAGACAAATGCATGTTATTTTCTGATCTTTCTTCTTTTCTAATTTTTTGCTTTTATATACTATTCTCCCTTTCTAGATTTATGACATATTTTACTCTTCTTTACCTCAAGTCTTCACCCAGATTTTATTCTTGGCAGCTTCAGGAGCAATTCTAAAGGAGCTACCAATTTTTTAACTTAAATTCATAAAGAAAGAGGAGAATACCTTCCATGGCCAAGCAAAAGAGACATAGGGTGTGAGTACAGGGAGTCGGGATCTGGCTGCCTCAGCATTAGCCAAAAGGCATCCATGGTGTCATAGCACCGGACGAAAGCAGAGGGCTGGGAAGACCGATGGTCAGGGTCATCTTGGCATATTTTAAAAATTATCAACAAGATCAACAATAGAGCTGAGATATCAAGAAGATCAGCAAGGGGCCAAGAGATTCCATCACTCTGCACAAACAAGTACTTTTTACGACATGTCAAACAGAAAGGTTTTTCTTTCCAGGAAAGAGCTCAAAGAAACCCTTACCTCGTATTTTCCTTTCTTCTCTAGAGGCTCGGACTCTTCAGGCTTCCCGTCTCTGTCCCCTCTGAGCTCTTCCAGGATGAGGACTGTCTCCCAGTTACTATAATGACGGGCTGGGAAAATGTCTGAGTGCATGCTGTCACCAAAGTAAACGACCTGTAAGTCAGACAGCAAATTCTGTTTGGGGCGTGAGAACCGTGAAAGAAAGCGGTTGCTTCAGTGAAGCGGAAAAAAATTCCTCACCAGCTCTCAGAGTAGGACAAAAGTTCCATAAACACCTTAAATGTCCTTGAACAGCATCATAGGTGACCTTGGTCAACTTGCCTCAACTTTGCCCCCTTACCACATTACACAATGCATTTGCAGGCAGAAGAAAGGCAAAGGCTAACTGATTTTATTCCATTTTCTGAAGAAGTCAGAGTCCACGTGTTTCCAGGTAGGCCTGCCCTTAGAATAAGAAGAACTGGTGGAGGATGAGATGACTTGTTACGGTTGGTTAGATTAGCAGGAGCGCACACCACGGCCGCTTTTCCGAGGGTTTCTGGGACCTGCCCAGGCCTGCTGAAGCAGAATCGCTGATGGGGCGCTGGGCAAGTGGACCTGGGAGGCTCCCCCCATCTAATCCGTATCCCTCAATTTGCATTTAATGAGGTTAAAGGAATAAAACCAGAACCTCCACGTCAGGATGCTCCATTAAACCCCTAAGGGTTCCCAGGGGGCTGTGGCAATGGGGGACGAGGGGCACTATCGGTACCCACTCATCTGTCCAGAAAACATTTTTAGAACAAAGCGTCCTTGCCGTAAGAACGGCCCCGGGTCCAACAGCAACAATGCGACCAGGATATGGAGAGCAAGCGTCCCTTCAGGCTGTCTGTGGCCTGAGTTCAGCTAATGGTTTTGCACATAGAACTTGTCTGCTGAGCTGTTAGCAGAATCTTATTGCTCAGTGTCCTACACGCTAACCCAGCTTATCCCCCAGAACCGGGCCGCCCCGCTTGGAACCGCTGCTCTTCTGTTTCGGACACAGACCCCGTCTAGAGCAGCAGAGCAACGGCTTATCTAAGCAGAAGGCAGGCGGCGGCACGGGATTTCCCCGTGGGAACGGAGGCCGCGCGCGCGGTTAGAACCGCGGGCGTATCACGGGGCGCGTCCGCCGCGGCCTCGGATCCCCGCACCACACAGTACCTTGGGCTCATCTCTGCCAGTCATTTTCTTCAGAAGCTCGTAGAGGTGGACGGCGTTCCCTTGGGAGTACCAGCCAGGTTTCTCAAGAGACGGTAGCGCCTCCTGCTCCTCATCGTTTTCTGAAAATAGAGTGGGACAATCGTCTATTTCTTTTTTTTTTTTAAGATTTTATTTATTTATTCATGAGAGACACAGGGAGAGGGAGAGAGAGAGGCAGAGACCCAGGCAGAGGGAGAAGCAGGCTCCATGCACCGGGAGCCCGACGTGGGATTCGATCCCGGGTCTCCAGGATCGCGCCCTGGGCCAAAGGCAGGCGCCAAACCGCTGCGCCACCCAGGGATCCCTCAAAAGTCCCATTTTTGACGCCATCTGCTATCCACGTACCTCTTCTACAAAAGGTAACCACTCTTTTACGCATCCTCTTGTCCTCTCCCTCTTAAGGACATGTTCGCTGAAGTCAACTGTCATACAACAGACCGCACGTACCGCGACACACAACGTGGTGAGTCCTGGCGGATGTATGACCCGTTACGAGCTGAGCTGTGTTCCCCTCAGATTTATATGTTGAAGTCCTCACCCCCAGTCTCTCAGAATATTTGAAGCAGGGCCTTTGAGGTGATTACGTTAAAATACAATGACAAAACTAGACAAGACTGTCAAAAAGGAACCGCGTTAGGGTGCTGGAAATTAACCAAAGGAACACTAAATTGAGCTGTTCTTCCAGAATACCCCTGGCGTCTCAGACCCAGTGGCCAACCTGAGGGGAGCCTTTCTGCCACGCACGCAGAGGGTAACACTGGCCCCCATACGGCCACTAGGGTGGGCCTAACCCCAACATGACTGGTGTCCTCATAAGAACCGATTAAGACACAGATGATTAGGTAATCAGGACACAGAGGAAAGGGGCGCCTGGGGGCTCAGTCGGTGAAGCATCTGCCTTGGGCTCAGGTCATGATCTCCAGGTCCTAGGACCGAGCCCCACGTTAGGCTCCTGCTCAGCGGTGATTCTGCTTCCCTCTGACTCTCCCCCCTGCTTGTGCTCTAATGAAATTTTTTTAAATGAAGATTTTATTTATTCATGAGAGACACACAGAGAGAGAGAGAGAGAGGCAGAGACACAGGCAGAGGGAGAAGCAGGCTCCCTGCGGGGAGCCCGATGCGGGACTTGATCCCGGGACCCCAGGGTCACACCCTGGGCGGAAGGCAGACGCTCAACCGCTGGGGTCCCTCTAATGAATTAAAACAAATATTTATATAAAAAAGAAAAGGCCACAGAAGAAAGACCGTGTGACGATAACAGGGAGAAGATGCACATCTACAAGCTGAGAGGCCTCCGAGAAACCATCCTGCGGACACCTTGGCCTCAGATTTCCAGCCCCCGGAACTGAGGGAAAGTGCACTCTGTGGCCACAGCAGTCCTGGCAGGTAACAGCACCCGCGAGTCCTCCCACCGAAGTGTGAATGTTGGCACGCAGTTCTGCAATTTCATTTCTTTTAAACTCTAGCCAATACACTGCAATCGCTGAGCTTTTAAGGTAGATGCGTTTTCAGTATAATCGACAGTCCCTACTGGAGACGCGCGCGACGTCGCCGATCTGGAGCTGTTACCAGGAAAGGTTAGAAACATGAGAGTCCTCGCAGTCCGGCAGGGTCAAGCGTCTGTCTGCCTGGGGCTCAGGTCCTGATCCCGGGGTCCTGGGATGGGCCCCGACAGGGCGACCCGCTCGTCCCGCTTCCCCTGCTCATGCTCACTTGCTCTCTCTCTGTCTCTAAGAAATAAAATGTTAACAAAAGGGCCCCCGCCGGGGTGACTGTGCGCTAAGGTCGGAGAAAACACTGATGTGGACGGAGAGCGGCGACGGAAACCGCCAGGAGAATAGCAGGTGCTCGCTGGGCGTGGATGGCCCGGAGGCGGCCCAGGTGGGCCCCCCAAGAGGCCTGCGTGTCCAGCCACACTGTCCGCCCGGCAGGGAGTCATGGAGAACGGATTTAAAGGACGTGGAGATGGAAATCGGGGCCAAGTGTGCGCGGGCCGTGGGCACGAGACGCAGGGAAGGAGGGGACGGTGTCAAGGAGCTGGGGTGGGGGGCAGGCGTGAGGCAGCTGCGGCTCGCACAGCATCTGGGTGGGAAAGGGCAGGAGGCGCAGGTGCGCGCGGGGTCGGCCGCGGTGGGCGGGCAGCAGGTGCGGGAAGGAGACTGGAGCCGAGCCCAATACTGCGCAGGCCTGGTGTGTGGGAGGGGGGCGGGAGGACGCCCTAGGAGAGGGGTCACAGGGGCAGAGGTGGGGGGAGGGGGGGGGGGAGATCCTGGGGGTAGAGGGGTCATGGGGGTAGAGGGGTCATGGAGGGAGAGGTCACGGGGAGAGAGGTCACAGGGGAAGGATGGGGGGAGGTGGGGGAGAGGTCATGGGGCAGAGGTCTGGGGGTAGATCTTAGGGGAAGTGAGGCCACGGGGTGGGGGCAGAGGTGGTGGGGAGAGAGGTCTGGGGGGAAGAAGGTTGTAGGGGGCGCAGGAGCAGCGCAGGCCGGGGCGGCCCTCCGGGGAGCTGAGGGAGGCGGCGCAGGGGAGGCTGCAGGAGTCCTCGGGAGGGCGACTTGACGGATGTTGGCTCCAAACTGCGCACCGACGGCGAGACGTCGTGCACCTGGACACTCATGCTGAGGGAAAGTCTGTCTGAGAAACTGGTGTGAAGCCCGGAAAATACCCGTTTAATGCCGTCCACTGCGCTGCGGCCCACAGGACTGCGCCAGGTCCCGTCGGGTCCTCGTGGGCGGAGTGAATGAGCGCGACAGCGACAGGCGACAGGCGGAAGCCTCGCCCTCTGGGGAGACCAGTGGATTCAACAGGAGAGCAAGGTCCTCCTTTGCCGTAGTTCACAATCCTTAGAAAATCCCTTGATTTAGAGGCTGAAACTGCTTCGATGCTGTTTACTCACAGCCACGATTTAACTGGTTGCATTTGTATGAAAATAGCTTTAATGACTTACTTTGTATTGATCTTGAGCACAATGAATATTCCACAGCGACCGAATATTTTAGTAGAGAGAGAGGTGGAGGGGGACGGGCAGTGGGGACTGAAGCAGCACCAGCAGCAAAACAAGCACCAGGAACGTCAGGAACCGGACATTCTTTAGCACCCCCCCCCCCAGCCGTCCTCTGCCTCCTCTGCCGGGCAACCTTACTGCCCTCACGTTTGCGTTAACTCCACAAACTGCAGGAGTCCTTGCCTTGTCCACAGGAATATTTTAAATCGGAGGCCCAGGAAGTTAGAGCTGGAAAGCACCTTAGAGATCTTCTAGTCTAATCATTCCTGGATGTGAGACCCCAGAGGCCAGCTTGGCCATCGTCCCCCGGAAAAGCACGAGATCCCACAAACTCTGAGCAGAGCGCAGAGACGCAGCCTCAACCAGACGATGCAGAGCATGTGGGGTGGGGAGGGGCAAAGGGCCGGGAGGTTTGGGGGGGGGGGCAGTTCTGTGCAGTCCAGGAACGAAGACACAACACACAGTGGCCAGTGGCAGGTGTACAGGGTCTGAAGAGGTCCCTGGAGGGAGTGGAACCAGCGAGTGTAGACAACTCTTTCTAGAATTTGAGCTGTGGAGGTACTCAGAGAATTGAGGTTTTAGCCAGAAGACAATGTAGGATCAGGGCATATTTTATGGTTTTTTTTTTTTTTAAACTGAAGGTACGAGAATATGCATATACGTCAATGAGAACGGCCTGGTACAGCCGTTCCCAGCTGTGCCAACTTTGCTCGCCAGGGCAAATCGGCAGTGTCTGTAGACATTTTTGGATTTTACGACTTGGAATGCGGGATGCTACTGGCATCGAGTGATCAGAGGCTAGTGATGCTGCCGAGTCGCCCTAACACACGGGACAGCACCTCCTACCTCCACTAACGAACAAGTATGTGGCTCCAAGCCCCAGAAGTGCTAAAGAGAATCTGGTCTAGGGGAAAAGGACAGAGTGATGAGAAAATCTACACCTGTTCCCTATCTGGAGTAGTACTTAGACTATTCCTCAGAGGGTTTTTCTTTTTTTTTTAAGATCTTATTTTCAAGTAATCTCTAGACCCAGTTTGGAGCTCCAGCTCATAAGCTCCGCGACTGAGAGTCCCAAGCTCCACGGACAGAGCCAGCCAGGCGCCCCACGTTCCACAGAGATTCTTACTAAAATTTCACACACATACCGGTAATGGAAAACAGTGCACATTAAAAATATTCCAAATTTATTTTTACCATATTGGAGACCACAAATGCATTGACTTTTACCGCATTTTTCGCACTGTATCTGTTTACTTGAAGAGTATCAAGAGAGAGGATGACCTGTTTAAGATCTATTATGCAGAAGTACCATCTGCAGTCTGGCTTCTACCCCATCATTCTCTCCGCATGCGACCTCACACAAGCCCCGCGGCTTTAAAACATCCCCTGAGCATCAAGAGGACTCTCCCAAATTTATACCTCGAGCCTAAAGCTGTTCCCTTGGACTCCATGCTCATCTGTACACGTTCTTTCTTTGTTCCTTTTTTTTTTTTTAGAGATTTTGTTTATTTATTCATGAGAGACACAGAGAGATAGAGAGAGGGGCAGAGACATAGACAGAGGGAGAAGCAGGCTCCATGCAGGGAGCCCGACGCGGGACTCGATCCCGGGACTCCAGGATCACAGCCCGGGCTGAAGGCGGCGCTAAACCGCTGCGCCACCCAGGCTGCCCTCCTCTATACAATTTCCTAATTGTTAGTCCCAGTTGAGTAGCTCCCAGGCATTTCAAGATTAATATGTCAAAAAATGATTCCTTAATAGCTTGAACCCCGACCCTAGAAAACCTCTCCCTCTGTATTTTCCCTCACGGCTGTAGATGGTACCACATTCACCCATTTGCTCAATGCAGAAAAAAAGAAAAATCACCAAGTCATTTTGGTTGTTCTTTTCATCCTCCGTTTCTGAGAACATCACAAGTCCTGGTGTTCCATCTCCACCACGTGCCTCACTGTCTATTGCCTCCAGTACGAGCTCCTCACGCGGAACGAGCACAGCCCTGGTCGGGGCGCGTCTGCTCTCCCTCCTTCTCTGTCCTTGCCGCCCGCCGCGTTCCCCGTTCCCCGCCCCGCTCCCCGCCCCGCAGCCAGAGCTCTCCACGGCACGCTTACACCTCAACTGAATAGCTTCACGCAGCTTGTGGAATAAAATTCCAACCCGCTTCCACCTATGGGGCTGCCCCCCCCCCCCCCCCCGAATCACCAGCATCCTCTGTCACTGGAACTCGCCTAAACCACCGCCACCCGGGCGTGTGCGTCTGCGTGTCCCGCTGCCAGGGACACTCTTCCTCTGCTCTTCTCAAGGCCTGCCCCCCAGGTCCTGCCTGGCAAGTCCTCCCTCCTGAGCTTTCTGGACAGGCCTCCCCGGGTCAAGCACGCTCAGGCGCCCTCCTGGTTGACCCCAACAGGCAGTCATGACAGGCAACACGGTCTGTGGCCCATCGTCACCCGCACGTATGTAATGTGCCTGCTTACGTGTGCCTGTGGGGGAAGACCTGGCATCCCTTCACCCCCCGGGTTGTTTCACACGGGACTCTGCACACACGTGTCGGCCAACGGGTAGTTAAGTAACTGAAAGAACAAATCTTAAATAAGAGAAGGAAGGAAGAAGCACAATGTTAACTTACCAAGTGTCCAGAAAGGTCTTTGACTTGGTAAATGGGAGAAGAAACCAGGCTTCAGTGCATTTGTGATCACAATGTCAAAAAGGTCTGTAAAGTCGTTCCTAAAGAAGCAAGAATGTTTTTCATGAACTTAAAGAATTAGAGAAAGTCCATATAAAACAGAACTTAATCTTTACCTGTCTGACCACAGAACCATTTCTTGTCTTTTGATTAACTTTTACGCACTTTCTATGTATTTCACGTGTAGAAACGGAAGGCGGTCGAGCGCCATTCTTTCCTGAAATGTACCGTTAAGTAGAAGCAGTCAGGAAGCGTGCCAAGCCGGCCTCCTGACGCTCACAGCGACAGTGAAGGGACTCAAGAGCTCTAACAACAAAAATATTCGCGAGCTGGGTCTTCAAATGTGGGGCCTGAGCTCTGCGTCTGTTAGCATGGAGTCACGACTGATCCAGGGCGCCACGCGGGTCCTACGGAAAGCGAGCATCGTATCCATTCAAGTGACATCTTTCAGGGTGTTCAAATGTGGAGAAGATACCTTATTCTGGAAATCGGTGAAATCTTAGGATGTGGTGTTTTTAGATAACAAGACTAATAGTTTTTCCGCCTGGGATCCCCTGGGACGGCGAAGGAAAGCTGGGACTCTGGCACTGGGGGGACGACAGTTACCGGGCTCAGCTGCGCTAGAGGCTGGGACGGGGAGACAAGCTTGGGTTGTCCATGCTAACGAAGGAGGAGGTCAGAGGGCTGCAGCCTGCTCCCGGCGTCGGGACGGCTCGCGGGCTCCATGGTCTACGAGGCACCAGGCGGGGCGTCCGGGACGCGCGCCTTAATTCACCTCGAGGTTCCCGGGCCTCTGTGTTCAGAAGGTGACGGATATGCCACCGGCCGACCTAACGCCACACGCGCTGAGGAGCGTGGACGCTAGGGGCTAAGGGCGGCAGCCTCAGGTCACTTGGGAGGGGGAAATGTGCTTCACGCTCAGCACTTCGGTACGTGCTGAAAGTGCAGGGGCACCCGGGGGGCCAGCAGCCCCGTTTAGGGTCCGGCTGTGGCCAGGCGGGGCCTGGCGTCACTCGCGGGGGTGGCGGAACCGAGGATGAACACGTGACCAGCAGCTCCCTGAGCTGCCCTCGGAGCCCCGCTCATGCGCGTGAGCCTTACGGCCCCATCTTCAAGGGATGCCAAGGAGGGCGAGAGCCGTCGGGGCACAGGCGTCGGGCTCGGGGGGTGGCCGGGCGGGCTCGCGGCCGCGTGCCTGAGGCCTGTGCACCTGGACCGCCCGGGCGTTCCGGGACGTTCCGGGACGACAGCGCGGCCCAGGGCCCCTCGGCGGCCACCCAGCGTTGGCAGGGACGGGGCAGGGACGGGGCAGGGACGGGGCAGGGACGCGCGGCCGCAGCCCCGCGCCCGCTCACCCGAGGATGTGCTCGCACAGAAGCCGGCAGTAGTCGCTGTGAGAGCTGGTGATGAGCAGCAGGACCTTCCCGGCGCTCTTGAGCTGCCGGAGCCACTTCTTCACAGGCTCGGGACACGTGTGCACGTACCTGCCCGGGTCCCTCTTGATTTCTGGAAAGTATATTCCGCAGTTTTCTGAAAAACAAAAATGTCAAGGAGATTTTTCTTTAAGAACTTCTTTTGGCTCACTGTGTCCCCAGGAGGCTCACGTCCCAAAGCCACAGGTAAAACGAGGAGGACGGGACCGTGGCTGCGACGCGGCCGCGACGCTGCGCCACGCGCCTCCCGCCCAGCGCCCGGGCGCCCGCGGCAGCAGCGGACCGGACCCCGTCGGTCCCGAGGCAGGACGCCGCGGCGCGCCGGCAATGTCCGCGTAACTGCTCCTTCCGTCGGCGGCCAACAAGCATTTGCGAATGCGAGTGTCGAGCACGCGGCGGTGCCCGAGGCGGCCTCAGGTCACCGCAGGCCCCACCGGGCGGCCGCAGGGCCCATGCGCCCCAGGGGGACCACGGCCCAGCGGCGGCGGCGACACTCAGGGCCCGGGGCCCAGAACACAGCGAAGCCCGCTCCTCCCGGGTGTGCCCCACAGGAGCACCGCGTGCGGCCCCACGGCCCCTCCGTAGCCTCCGACCGTGGAGCGACCCTTAAAAAGTCTGTTTCAGGGAAGAGACGGCGCCGGTGAGCAGGGCGAATCCGGGGAGAAAACCGTGAGATCCAAGAGCAAGCACAGAACCGTCTGCGGAGGGACTCAGTCGGCGGCGCCGCTGGGCTTCGGGCCCATCACACCCAAGGGGGTCTCCGAGATTCCTCCAGAAAAACAAGGCTTTTGTAGCAATAGGGATAGTAGGGGGTGGATAACATGGCCTTTGTGGTATATGATGCGGGAAACATCTCCACCCTCGAGCCTGTACCAGACCCCACAGCCGAGAAAACGGCTGTTCCGCGTGTGCGTGCCTCGGGCCTTCCTGTGACCCAAACGTAGATTGCTGTGCAGACCACTCCGTTTCCAAATGAATAAAAAAAATAAAGCAATACATTTAAATACTGTATTTAGAAATTCTTTTTTTTTTAACAAGTTTAATTTTTATTTATTTATTTATGATAGTCAGAGAGAGAGAGAGAGAGAGAGGCAGAGACACAGGCAGAGGGAGAAGCAGGCTCCATGCACCGGGAGCCCGACGTGGGACTCGATCCCGGGTCTCCAGGATCGCGCCCTGGGCCAAAGGCAGGCACCAAACCGCTGCGCCACCCAGGGATCCCTGTATTTGGAAATTCTTGCCCAAATTAGTTTTAGTGGTTGCCCTTAGTAAACCACAAGAGTGCAAATGCAAGACTTGAGTAGGAGAACACGATTCCCCGAGGAGTAACACGCCTGTCCTCACTTCGTTCCCAAGCCAGACTGAAATGAACGAACGAAAAGCGCCAACTCCTGTACACACGCCCGGCGCGACACACGGGTGCTCTTATTAGAGATGACCGCTGACTGGCTGGGGAACGCGTCTGCCTTCTCCTGTAACCTCCAATCATCCAAGGAGCAGATCTAATTAGCCAAGTACACACTCATCTTCTTAAAAAATCTCCTTTTAGATATACCTGACACGCAGCATCGTGTGAGTTCAAGATGCACGACGTGTTGATTTGCTATATTTATATAATGCGACAGGATTACCACCCTAGTGTTAGCTAACACCTTTATCGTGTCACATAATCATCTTTTTAAAAATTATTTTATTTACTTATTCATGAGAGACAGAGAGAGAGAGAGGCAGAGACACAGGCAGAGGGAGAAGCAGGCCCCATGTAGGGAGCCCGATGCGGGACTCGATCCCGGGACCCCGGGACTGAAGGTGGTGCTAAACCGCTGAGCCACCCAGGGATTCCCCATAATTATCTTTTTTTTTTTTTTTTTTTGTGGTGGGAACAATAAAGATTGAGTCTTTTAGCAATTCTGAACTTTATAATACAGTATTGGTGCCTATAATACACACTCATGTTTCTACTGAAATAAATCAAGCTACGAAACCCAAGGAGTTAGGTCGAACATATTATACTGGATTATAATTGTCCATTAAATTATGTCCCTGAAGTGACCGTACCCTCCTAAGGGTAGGGAGCCTTTCTGCGTGGCAGGGAGCAGAGGTTCAGTGAGCGACTACTTCAGTTAGCGCGGGGCAGACACAAGAGTATTTATGTTTATTTAAAGTCAATGGAAGGGCCTCCTGGCTGGTGGCTCAACCAGTCAAGCGTCCGACTCTTAACTTCAGCTCAGGCCATGATCCCAACGTCATGAGACCAAGCCCCGCGTCAGACTCTGCATTGGGCATGTGGCCTGCTTGGGATTCTCTCCACGCCATAAATGAATGAATGAGTGAATAGATGGATGGATGAATGAATAAATAATTTAAAAATGAAGTCAGGTGATTTGTAACATAACCTGTGAGTGGCAAAAAACTGTACTATTCAAAAAACAAAAACAAAAAACTGTACTATTCATGCCCCGTCCAGGTCATCCTATTGCAAGTGTTGCCCCGGCCTAGGCTGCAAGCACCGAATGTGACTGAGGACGTAGTGACCTCTGGTGGCTAAAAAAAAAAGTACAATTTGAATATTAAAAATAACTTTTTTTTTTTTTTTTTTTTTTTAAGCGGACAACTGCACCACATCTCGGTTTCTATCATCACGGAATAAGGAAGCATTTTTCTTGTCAACTGTGTCACCACTGTTTTGCGGCTGGAGCTTTCGAAGCTCTAGGCCAAGGGGATCAGAGATGCCAGGACGCCAGCACTTCCACCGTCAGCCTCCACGTAAGGTCTGGTGTTTCTACAGCAGAACCTAACACAGGAGAGACGGAGGCGTTTACGACCTTCACGGTGATAGAAGAGCATGCTGGTGAGCAGCTAAAAGGCTTAGTTCTGAACTGGTTACACGTACTTGCTGTAGGAGGTGACAGAACGAATTTTCTGAAATATACACACGTATATTTTATTTTGGGCCAAGAGATACTAAAAATTTTTTTGAAGGATGAGATATAAGCAATGGGTTAAGTATGCTCTAAATTATTTCTGTTTGCAGAGGGCAAAAGATGAAACAAATTTAATATTACGACAGGTTTCCTATGTATGAGATCTATCTAATCTAAGAGTAAATAAATATATTTGCTTCTAGCTAATATACTCATAAATAAGGAAATCCAGAGTATCTAGAATAAGAAAAGTAAAAATCTACATGCTAAACATAATGCTCAGAAAAAGGACAACGCCTAAGAATTGGAAAATGAAGTATATATTGAAAAACATAATTCAGAAAATTTATATTTTAACAGTATTTGACTTCTATCTCTGTATCTGTGCCCTACTCAAAGGATTCTGATTTAACTGCTCTGCGCTGGGGTGATGACGCTGGTAATTTTAAAGACTCCCCAAGTAATTTTAAGGGTTACTGCTCTGACATTTAGGAACTAGAACTCTTGTGATTAGTACCTGTATATCCTGCCCGCCTCCGCCTGTATCACAGGCTCTCAGAGGACAAGGGTTTCTTTTTTTTTTATATATATAAATTAATTTTTATTGGTGTTCAATTTACCAACATACAGAATAATACCCAGTGCTCATCCCGTCCAGTGCCCCCCTCAGTGCCCGTCACCCATTCACCCCCACCCCCCGCCCTCCTCCCCTTCCACCACCCCTAGTTCGTTTCCCAGAGTTAGGAGTCTTTATGTTCTGTCTCCCTTTCTGATATTTCCCACACATTTCTTCTCCCTTCCCTTATATTCCCCTTCACTATTATTCATATTCCCCAAATGAGTGAGAACATACACTGTTAGGACAAGGGTTTCTTGATTTTACTTTACTTCATCGCTTACGTAGGGCCTTGTACGTAGGAGGCGACCACTACGTGTTAACTGCTGTTGATGTGTGATGTCACATGCAGGCATGAGCGCTGAATGAAGGACCTTGTTTGATGAAGAGAAAGCCTGTGCTGCAGACGAGTGAAGAGAAGGAAGGGGATACGAGGGCTGAACGCTGAAAGCAAGGACACAGGCAACGCTCAGGGAGACTGGCTTGGTCCACTTGAGCTGACGGGAACAGAGGAGCTGGTAAGTCATGCTGCCCGAGCCTGTGCTCCCCCAACCCGGGAGCACAACGAAGCCTGCGCAGAACCTGGAGCAAACCTCCGTTCCTGTGCGCCACCCTAGAGACCTCTGAGGATAGGCTCCGAAGATTCACACCTGGCCAATCTGCAAACCAGTCAACGAGGTGGCACAGATGGACCGCTTTCACCTTAGAGAGAGAGAGAGAGAGAGAGAGAGAGAGAGAGAGAGAATGTGCACGAATGGGAGGAGGCGCCGGGGGGGCGGGGGAGTGAGGCACATAGATCCTTCGTAGTGGTAGTTGCGTTTGCACTTGACGGAGGTATTAACACTTTTCTAACTCATCAAGCCCATAATTTCAAGTTTTACATCATAAAAGTAAAACCTCTACCATTATCTGAGCTGAACGGCTCCCTAACTGGAAGCCAGTGCCATGTAAAAAGTGCAACCAATCTGAGACCACCGAGCTGTGCGGAGCAGGTCAGATGAACTTAACTGTAGGTGCTCCAACTCCCAGAACTAAGAGCGCGCCCTCGCCCTCCTGGATAGTCAGCGGCGTCAAGCCTTCGTTTGACGACATCCCTGCTGACTCCTGACTGCAAGCCCCTGGGAGACCCCACACGCGAAGCACCCAACTTGGCCCAGAACATCAGGGACAATAACAAACGGTGGCTTTAGTCTACTACGTTTTGTGGTGGTTTCTCGTGGAGCAACAGAGAACCAGAAGGAGATGCTTTGGAATAGTGCCACAATTCCAATTACCAGGTCTATGCAATTCAAGATACATAAAGAAGGGCAGCCCCGGTGGCTCAGCGGTTTAGCGCCGCCTACAGCTCAGGGCGTGGTCCCGGAGACCCGGGATCGAGCCCCACGTCAGGCTCCCTGCACGGAGCCTGCTTCTCCCTCTGCCTGTGTCTCTGCCTCTCTCTCTCCTCTCTGTGTATTCCCATGAATAAATAAAGAAAATCTTTAAAAAAAAAAAGATAAAAAAAAAATCACAAATTTTTCTAGAAACATCCAAAATAAAACGAAACAGGTTCTAAAT